CTAGGTGAGTGTACGGCAAACTAGGTGAGTGACCCACCTAGGTCCCGTCGTCTTAATCTTTCTACATCATGGTAGGTAACCTCTCCTGGGTAGGTAGCCTCCGTAACTCGGTGTGTGTCTCGTTTTTTTCTCTCGGTTCGAGTGTCTCTATTTATAGCCGCGTTCACACGTAGCAAGAAATCCGGTATTTAGCGTTCACACGAGGCAAAATACGAGGCCCAAGAAATACGGTACCCGGTATCTAAACAGATCCGGTATTTCTCAAGCACGGCAAATTATTCGGGGTCTGGGAAGCCTCGTATTTACATGAAATACCGGATCTGTTTAGATACCGTATTTCTTGGGCCTCGTATTTTGCCTCGTGTGAACGCTAAATACCGGATTTCTTGCTACGTGTGAACGCGGCTATAAATACGAGGTCTCGTGTGAACGTGGCTTATATATCATGTATATAATATATCATCATATAACATCATTGGTCATCAGTAATAAAGTGATACACGATCTAGTTTGTTAGTTGATAATTTTCCTCACCACGAGTGGTGCCATCCATTATGTGGGTCTGCAGCTATAGAGATCGAATCGTGTTGATAACGGTCTTGCTCTGACGGTGGTTAGTTAGTTATCCCTCGTAGCTGCCTAGATGGCACATAAGTCAGTGACAAGAGATCTCCAACGTCGTCGGTCTGCTGCTACTGGCCTCAGCGTGTTCCATGACAGGTCACACATCCGCATATATATCCTTCTCGGTAGTCCTTCTCAATGTCTCCTTGGGTCTTCCCTTGCTTCTCCTCCCGTCTGACGTCCATCTAACTCTAAGTGCCGTTTTCGCTATGGCACCTTCCATCTGGGCGACATGATCGAGCCAAGTCTATTTTCTTCTTTTAATTATATTTCCCAAAGGTTCTGTGTGCGTAATGTGGTATCTATAGTCGTTCGTTTGTAACATGTCTCGCCAATGTATCTTGAGGATCCTTCATAATGACTTTGTTTGGAAGGTTTAGAGTTTTTGAGTGATTTCTTTGGTAGCCTTCCAGCTTTCCGTTCCGCAAAGAAGCACACTCAAAACATTGCTATTGAAGATTTTTATTTTTGTTGCTGTTTTCATAGCTTTAGCCTTCCATATCTTATTCAGCATTCCAAAAGCTTACAAGTCTGACAGTGGTGGTGCCACGACATCATCTACCAAGAAGTGTTAGAACGTCTGATAGTGCACATCTTTAAAAATGATTCACATAGGCAATATTTCTATCTGAAAACACGAATGTTCATTGATAAGAGATCTGTCCCTTTATTTTTACGCCTTGAAGAAAGTGTAACGTTACCCTAGTTAGCGTGATTCCGACACGAGGCGTTCCTGTACAACGTACATGTTACCTCGACTTTGGATATTTTCACCGGCTATTAATAACGCTTCGTTTTCTTTCCATGTTTATGTCTACTAGCTGTTACATAGCGTTTGTTTTGTAATCGAACACTCTGAGGGTAATGCCTATGTTAGATGACCAAATGAATATATCTGTGTATTTTGAAGTTTGTCGTGCTAATTTTACGCAATTGTATATTTATAGCTGTAAAATTGTTTATTTTCCTTGCAACGGATGGCATTACATTCGAATCCATTATGTGTGATACTAAGTAGACATACAGGAAGAGGCAATATTAACACTATCCCACATTTTTCGGACAAGTTCTCCTGGAAAAGGGGAAGTAAATACGCGTTTATTCCGTAAAATTTTCCGTAAAAAGGTTTGCGTAGGTTATTGCGTAGGTCAGCAACATTTCCCTGTTTCTTAACTAATATGCACTTTAGCCACGAGAAGCAGCCACCGCATGAAGCTTTTTACACGGGTTAGAACACGAACAAACCTCTTACCCAAACTGGTTATAGCCCTCCGCACAGCAAGGTATTTACAGCGTAAATGTTCCCAAGTTAAATCTGATAGTCGATACCTGAATAATACTAGTAGGGAAATTTATGCAAACGAAAATCCTCCAAAATCCCGTGGTAGCCACCATAGTTCCGGAGTCCACACACGTACCAAACTTTGGACTTCTGCACTGTACCGTACGTATAATATAATTAGGCGGTTGTTCGGGTTAAATCATGTCTCTTTTGCCGTAGACCAACAAACATGACTCAGATAGAATATTTGTTCAAATGACATCATGTTTTGACATCTCAGAATGCAGTTCGTGAATTTGCAATTCGTTTGATTTCTTACCAATTAACCAAGACCTTGATATATGCAAAGTTAGATTAGCAGATAACTGCAAACAAACCCTATAAGGGAGGCCTGGGGTTTTTCACAGAGCAACATGAGCAAAGCATTGGCATGTGCCCCTTCCCACGCGGTCAGAATATGTACCTCTGAGCTGTATATATAATAACATCATTATATTAAATACAGTTACATATATAGTTAGCGTAGCTTCCGTGCGTTCGCCCACGTGTCTGCATGGAGGGAGTGTATATAGTAAGTACTTCTGACGTATGAATGATACATGACAGAGCCTGATCGTGAACATATATATATATACCGTTACGTTACGTGCATACTCATAAAAGGTTATGCTGCTCATAAATATGAGATTCGATTTGCAGTCATCATAATGCTATAATATATATATATATAATATATATATATATATATATATATAATATATTACATATATAATATAATATTTTATAATATAATATACTATAATATATATAATTTTATATAATTTAATATACTATTTATATATAATATACCCACCCTTACTGCAGATTAGGCCTGCCCCCACTACAGTATAACCCTGTCCCTTATGCAGCATAACTCATAACACCCTACTGCAGTATACCTTGCCCCTACTGCAGTAAACCATCTGCCGCCCTACTACAGTATTAACCCTGCCCCCTACTAAAGATAAACCCTACCTCCTACTGCAGCATAACCTTGCCCCTACTGCAGTATAACCCCTGCCCCTACTGCAACATAACCTTGCTCTCTACTGCGCCAGCATAACCCTGCCCTTACTGCAGCATAACCATTGCCCCTAACTGCAGCATAACCTTGCTCTCTACTGCAGCATAACCCTGCCCCTACTGCAGCAATAACCATTGCCCCGTACTGCAGATAACCGTACCCCTACTGCAGCATAACGCATATTATATATTATAATATATAATATATATATATAATATATATATATTATATAATATGTATACCGGAACGCTACCCTGCGTACTATCTATATGCGCGCGAAATAACCCTAGCGTACTATCTAAATAAATGCCGGACCCGTACTCACCTACTCCCCTAAAACGAGTCTATAGGAGTCGCCTACGGAAACTCCACTACTCTACCCACCTAACCCTAACCCTAACCCATAACCCTAACCCTAACCCTAACCCTAACCCTAACCGTATCAAATAGTGACCAGGGTACGTTCTGGTATTCTGGACCGTACCCAGGTTACGTTCCGGCAGTACCTTGGGGGACATAGACCCTATGAGCCCTAGTATGACACTGTCCCCCTGCTATATATATTGTCACCAGAGGTTAATAATGACAAATTTGTCATTATTAACCCCTGATGTCACTAATAGTGATATTTGCGAGTCTACCCATGATGCATACCACTGCACTAGGAACCCCTTACTGCAGTGGTTCTGAACCTTTTTTGGATGGACCCGTTTGCTAATCTGGTGAAAGCTACGGCGGCAGTACGTCCCTCCCCCCCAAAAATGCACATAAGCACATAAACACACAATTTTGAATGCGCCTGGTTCACGGACCCCCTGAAACCCATCTAGGGTCCGTGGAACCCCTGCCTTACTGGTTACCGAGTATGACCACGAATAAGAGAGTGTGTGTTCCTCTCTTCACGGCACTTTCATCTTCGCTCATAGATTCTTATTCAACTGACTTGACTGCGAGCCAGCTCTTACACATTCCCAGTGCGGCTATTATGGCTTGCCCGTTAATGTGTACTGTAGACCTGAGATGATAACGCTTAGGAACTACGGCGAGCAATAAAGCTTTACTGGCGATGACTGGGTCACTCACTGATGGCAGCTCATCGCTATGTGTGCGCATACACACTGGCGTGTTGTATTGGCATGAACACCCCCGTTAAGGAAGTGGCCTGATTTAAAAAGAGTTTGTGTACATGCATGAGCAGATTTACAATATGGGGTCAGTTCTCTCTTGGCACCCTATAATTTAGATGCCTCGCAGTTGTGAGTGCGTGTACTACAGTGTCCTTTTAAACACGTTTACTTCATATTTTATCATTCTTTGCACAAGTAAAACTGTGTTTTTTTGTCATGAGTGTCTTGCTATAGAGACGGTACCTATATCACTGTATATAGAGACATATAATCACTGTATGGCTGTGTGAGGTTTTGCTGGCTTTTCAAATCGGCTGGTCTGACATCGTGGTATCTGATACTCGAGACTACACGGAAATAGTGTAAAGTTCTGTTATTTTAAACCGCTGTGCTGTAGTCGCTCAGACTTAGTATTGAGCTTCATCGGGAGCTTATATGTTCCCATTAGTAATACGTCTAAAGGTGCACTGTAAACTATATATAGCATTTTAGATCACTAAGGGGAAATACAGTGTGTATCTGACATCAGTGTGTACTATGACCTGAAATATTGTATCAAGAGCTATAATAATAGAAATCACAACAACAACAACAACAACAACAACAACAATAATAATAATAATAATAATAAAAATAATAATTAAAGTAATAGATACATATATATCATAGTAACAGCTCGATGGTTTCTCTTGCAGAAAACTGACATCACAAATGAGTTGGTGGAAGAGCTACAGACTAAAACCAAGACCTACTTACAGCCGAATCCAGGTAAGCGCACAAATACCTGTCACACAGCGTCACATTGTATTAATTAACATATCCTCATCGCTGTCACGCATGTGGATGCTATGAACCTGTGGCGAATTCGTTTAGAAATTCGAATGTCTATTATATAATTGTATTATAATTAATAATTAATAATAATAATAATAATTATCTATAATAATAATTCATTATAATTATTTATCTATTATTTATCTGTAATAATTATTATCTATAATAATAATCGATTATAATTAATTAGAATTGTAATGGTTTGCACCAAAAGATAACCAGAGTGCCACATGAATAAATCATATAGATTGTATGGGAGTGAGTTTCATCTGAGTGCCATCGCGGTACATGTTTGATCTGTTGACGTGCAGCCTCACGAGCGAAGATGTCAGCGTCAAACACGATGGCGAAGATTCAGGGCCAAGCGAAGCAGGTGTCCTACCCACAGCCTGAGGGTCAGCTGGGAGAGACGATGGTCAGATTCGGCCAGCAGCTGGGAATGAACTCTAATTTCGGTAGGTCAGTGCGCTGAGCGATAGTCGGCGAGGGAGCGTGGCTTCTCCCCTACAGGTCTGTGCACTGTCGCCGCGTGCAGCTATTGGAAATGATGGGGAGGCAGTTTCGTTGCTGGGATGCGGGCGGTATCTGTTGGGATGCAGCATCCGCGTACAGCCTGAGTGGCGTTACTAGGTTACCAGACTGCAGCTCGCCCATAGTTAGTGGCATTATACAATAGCCTGGTTGTACTAGGCTGTCGAAGTGCACCTACGTCGTAGGTGGGCACATGTTACACAAGATGGGATGGCAGGTGGAGTTATCGTAAAATTACAGACGCTGTGTATTTATCTTGAGCTCAGATTGGTCGTCAGTTGCTGCAATTACTTTGTTTAGTAATTATTGATAATGGTGACACATGCTGAGAATAGTATATTAAAAGTGGCAATGCATTGAAAGATAGGGTGGTAGCAGCAGTAAGTCTGAAAACCTAGCCGGTCCTCATTTTGAAAATTAACCAGTCCTGTTCTATGGTTACCAGTCCCCGACTAAGGGAAGGGCTGCTAGTGCTATGTTTAACACTGGTGTTAGATTCACCGGAAATGGGCGAGTAACTAGCGCACAGGTATTACGGACACACCTGTCCTTAGCAGCAGCACCTGTATTGCAGGTACTGCCCTGTTGGAGGTCGGGGAAGCCTACAAGCAGCTTGCCGACATCAAATACGCACTAGAGGACAACGTAAAGCAGAACTTCCTCGAGCCCTTGCAGCTGCTGCAGTCAAAGGACCTGAAGGAAGTGATGGTAAGTGCGCATGTTTGCAAGCCTGCCAGTGCGCGGTGAGTCGAGCCATGGACGAACTCTGCACACGCAGTGACCTGCTCCTGCTGTCTGCCTGGCATCAAAGCCGTCCCTATGCCGTGGGTTTGGCTGTGGACCCAGTCGCACTCAGTTAATTGGCAGCAACCAGCGCTCTTCATTTCATTTGAAAGATAACAAAGAGTGGAGCGATGGGGGGGGGGGCAGTTGACCACAGTTTGTGCGAGCAGTTCTTCGCATGAATAGATATGGCTTTTACGTTTTCGTTCGTGTCTTTTTATGTCTTTGTGATTGTATTGCATTTGGGATGGTCAGAATCGGTGCTAAATTGCAGTTTCTTTGAGGTTAGCATCATGCCTCAGTGGTAAGATAAGCGCCAAAATGAATTAAACGAAAAGCAAGTTGGTGATTGATATGTAAATCGATGCTCTTATCGCATTGGTTTTATTTAACTGATTGGTTCCCGCGTGTAATGGTTTAGAGAGTGGCTTGCTTCGGTTGTAATACGCAGTACTGCCACGATATAAGCTTATAGCGACATAAGACAGTGTAATGCACGTGTGATAAATCTTACAGCACCATAGGAAGAAGTTGCATGGCAGACGTTTAGACTACGATTGCAAGAGGCGAAAGAAAGCGAAAGGTAGTTGCAGTGGTTTGGGTAGTTCCTGGGTCTTCCAACAGATGGCTCACCAGTAACCTTACAACTCTCACGCTGATACTCTCTCGATATAGGACGTTTGCATCATTGCAAAACGATGCAGAGTAAGAAGGCTAAAAATAAAGCACCTGTGTATATCTTGATGCATACTACAGTGCCCACTTGCATGAATGTAGGTCGGTCCTTGACATCTCTGCCAGTGTAGTCTCGTTTGCTATATAAGTAGCAAACATGATCTTGGGGTGAAACTCTCAGCTTCCTACATTTTCATCAAAACAAACTCATGCTATCCTTGAGCAGCAATCAGTGACAGAGAGAGAGAGAGAGAGAGAGGAATGCTTGCGTGCTGCCATCTGTTGGGAGACGTTGACATGTGGGAATGAGGACCATGGCTGCTGGCTGCTGCACTTTGCTGTGTCCATGCTGTTATTTTGACGTTTTGTTTCACAGCACCATAGGAAGAAGTTACAAGGCAGGCGTTTAGACTACGATTGCAAAAAGAAGAAGAGAGAGAAAGGTTAGAGGCAGACAACGCAGCTGCATTTATCTATGTGTGCAAATGGCTGCGATGCTGCTAGTCTTAGGAAGCTGCTTGTTTCGTGTTCGCAGGGCTGCGCATAATCTTTCTGCAATAATTCCCGCTTTTGTTCTTATTCTCTATGTAAAGGTGAATCGCATGTAATGGCATGTGGGTTCATACTGGTTAGTCCGATTCGGGGGGAAATTGTGGGCATACGGTGACCTTCTTTGTCAGAATTGGCGCGAGTCAGGTGAAGATTATGAAAACTTTCCTCCCCACAACATTGGTCTGGGCCCTGCTGTGGATGATACACGTTGTGTACAATTCACGGCCTGAACTGAAGCATATAGGTTTTCTAACCTGCTGCTAAAGTGATCAAAAAAGGGCAAGCAAATATTTGCATACCGAATTCAATTGAGACAAGATGCTGCACATATCAATGCTAGAGCAGAAAGAGAGCTAGAGAGAGAGATAAAAAGAGAGCAAGAGATAGAGATGTGGGGGGGGGGAGGAAGGGATGGATAATCGGGGAACCCACCTTTCATTCAGCTATATGCTAGTGGTTCTTAGCCGTAACTCGTTAGCCAAATTAGAGGTGGTTGGGGTTTCTATTTATGCCACAATCTAGGCACAGCCACTGTTGGAACGCAAGAGATAATTCAACCAGTGCCTTGGACAATGGCGACATGTTTTGTGGTTTGTGACCCAGGGGTTAAGAACCACTGACATGTGCTGGCACACACGTGCATGCGCTTATGTGTTTCACACTAGTAGGAATCTGCTGCACTCTGTGTGGCAAGTCAAGTTCTGTGTGATTGCCGTGCTCTTTCCTTTCACTACCTTCAGACCTATCTGCTTTCTGTAATGCTGCACGCTAATGCAAGTGTGATTTTACGCGAAGCCTGTGATCTATCTAGAATCTAATTGCAACCGCCCACACCTAGCGTTCAACACTCACTGCAGCGGTTTTAGCATACAAGTCTGTCGTGAGGAACATTCTATACGAGCGAACCTCTCTGTTCGCGAGTGCCACCGTTAAGGTTCACCTTTCTCGTGTCCTGTCTGGCATTCTCGAGTCATTTCACGTACCCGAAAGTGCTGGTAAATTCGAAATTAAGAAACATCACGCCCATTGCTCATCTGTCTCTTGCATACTCAGATTCACAGGCGATTCTATTCTTGTACTGCTGACATCGGAATCGATTAATGTCGTATTACTAGTCTATCCTACAATTATTCAAATTAAAAACGTTAAGCGCCGTCTGATTTTCTAATTTTCAGCGATTTAAAAAAAAGTTAAGAAATGGAGTTATTCTTGCACTTCAACCGTGTAATTCTTTATCGACAGTGCAATCAAATTCCGGCGGTTTACAAATGTAGGCACATGTTAACAAACGAGATGATATACAGCCAGGGCAATAAATTTTGGGTAGCGGATTTATGCGAGGTTTGCTGAATGTCAACTCCCCCGTGGCACCACCCTTTCCTTTCCTCTCTTTCCCCCGTCGCACCGCAGCATCATATTACCCTCTCTCCCTCGCCACCCCATGACATCACCCTCTCCTCCCTGTCCCTTGCTATCACATCGCACCACCCTCTCCTATCCCTTCTCTCCCTCACCACGCCATGGCACCACCATCTCCTCTCTCTTCTCTCTCTCTCCTGCAACGCTGTGGCACCACCCTCTCTCTCTTCCCTGCGACACTGTGGCATCACCCTCCTCTCTTTTACCCTCCCTGCGGCACCACCATTTTTTCTCGTACATCGGTCCCCTCTTCTCTGCCCCCGCCACACTGCGGCACCACCCTCACCTCTTTCGTTCGTCGGGCACCTTGCCCCCGTGCCGCCACCCTCTCCTCTCGCACGGCGTTCACTTCTCTCTCTCTCTCTCTCTTCCCCGCCACACTGCGGCACCACCCTCCTCTTTCGTTCGCCAAGCGCCTCTTCCCCGGCCCCCGTGCCACCACCCTCTCCTCTCGTTCGTCAAGCACTTCTCGCCCGCCCCCGTGCCACCACCCTCCTTCCTCGTCATTGTGCAGCGCCTCTTCCCGCCCTGTGCACCGACCCTCTCTCATCCTCTGCGTGTTCGTCAAGCATTCTGCGCCGCGCTGCGGTCCTGTGCGACCACTCTCCTCCTCTCGTTCGTTCAAGCACTTCTCAGCCCGCCCTCCGTGCACCGCCTCGTCTCTCGTGTCGGCAAGCACTTTCTCGCCCGCCCCGGCCCCGTCCTCTCTCTCATCGTTCGTCCAGCACTTTTGCGCCCCGTGCTCAACCCTCTCATCGTCGTTCGTAATGCACTTTTGCCCGCGCCCCGTGCCAGCGCCCTCAATCCTCTCGTTCGTACAAGCAATTCTGCGCCGCCCGCGTCCCGCCTCTGTCCTCTCGCACGGGTTAACCGACCTTCCTCTCTCTCTCTCTCTCTCTCTCTCTCTCTCTCTCTTCCCCGCCATGCTGCGGCACCACCCTCCTCTTTTGTTCGTCAGGCACCTCTCCCTCGCCCCCGCACCACAACCTTCTCCTCTCGCCCCACGGCATTTACCTCTCTCTCGCCACCGCCGCGCAGGCTCGAACGTGCCGGAAGAGGAGATGCGCATGGCCGAGGACAAGTTTGAGGAGTCGTGGAACCTCGCTGAGGCGGCGATGGTCAACCTGCTCGAGAACGACGTCGAGCAGATCTCTCAGCTGCACGCGCTCGTGCAGGCGCAGCAGGAATACTTCCGCCAGTCGGCCGACGTGCTAGAGGAAGTGCTCGAGAAGCTGGAGGTCGAGTAAGTGGGGCATGGAGGGGATGTCGGGAACCGGGGGAAGGGGGAACGGAGGAATGTCGGGAACTAGTGGCAGGGGGCACAGAGGGGATGGGGGCACGTAGGCGAAGTTAAGGATGTAAGAAAAGGGCATGTAGGGGATGTCAGGAGGCGGGGGCAGGTGGCATGGAAGGGAAGTTGGGAGATGAGAAAGCATACAGAGGATGTTGGAAGATAGGGAGGAGACACGTGGGGGATGTTGGGGGAGACAGGAAGGGGGAACTAAGGGGATGTCGGGAGTTGGGGAGGGGGCACTTGCACATGTAAATATGATTGTGCGATAACAAATATTTCTCGTCTATCCGTCTGTCGCCGCGTGGCGACCTGTATTGCTCCGTGCCCGGTGCTTCGTGACGAGTCACCGCGTTGTCGTCTGTGAAAAAAATACACGGGGGCTCTGGGCGATTTAGCCCCCGAAATGCCAAAAAGAGCCCCCGGAAATTTGCATAGAGTTCAATGCAAACCAAATTTTAGAGTGCTGTTTTCATGCACGCGAGCTTGAAAAGTAGCCCCCGAAAAATTAATTTTAATTTTTTCCCTGGTCGTCTGTGCGTGTGTCTGCAGGAAGCAGGATGCGGCAAGCCGGCCGAAGCGCGAGGCTTCCATACACCGGCTGCCACGTAACGGCAGCGACTCGATGGGCTCGGACGCGTGGGACAGCAGCGGCGCGGACGCGGCGAGCAACGCCAAGAACCGCGACTCCGACAGCTTTGCGCAGGACCCGTGGGGCAACAACAGCTCGGCGGCGCCACCTAGCTACAGCAAGAGCACCGAGAAGAAACGTAATTATATACATTTATATATATATATATATATAGATAGATAGATAGATAGATAGATAGATATTACAATATGTTATATATAATAGTACGTTGGAGTTTATAGTGAGTGTACATGGTGTATGCTATCAGGATGACTTTTGCTTCATTTATATATGTGTGGGCAAGAACCGCGGCTCTGAAGAAAGCGGCACGTGCGAATTAGTATGTCACGTGTACGCGCGCCTCTCGTTGATGTCAACCGTTCGCTTGTTTTCAGCGGCGGCGCGCGGGCCGTGCTGCGAGGCGCTCTACGACTTTGAGCCGGAGAACGAGGGAGAGCTCGGCTTCCAGGAGGGAGACGTCTTGCAGCTAATCGCGAAGATCGACGAGAACTGGTACGAGGGATCGATCCGCGGCAACACAGGATTCTTCCCCGTCAACTACGTCAAGGTCCTCGTCGACCTGTAACACGGTGGCGGCCATGGCTGCGGAGGTCGTGGTGGCGGAGGTCGTGGCGGCGGAGGTCGTGGCGGCGGAGGTCGTGGCGGCGGAGGTCGTCGCGGTCGTGGCGACGGCTGCTCGGACTCTTACATAGCTTACGATGATTATCGATGACGATGGATGGCGGCTGTTTGTGGTTTGTCTCCACCCGACGGAGAGGGAGAGAGAGAGAGAGAGAGAAGGAGAGAAAGAGAGAAGGAGAGAGAAAGGGAGAGGGGGAAAAAGAGAGAGAGAGAGGGGGAGAAGGAGAGAGAGGGAGAGGGGGAGAAAGAGAGAGAGAGAGAGAGGGAGAAAAAGAGAGAGGAGGAGAGAGAGAGAGAAAGAGAGAGAGAAGGAGAGAGAAAGGGCGAGGGGGAGAAAGAAAGAGAGGGGGAGAGAGAGAGAGAGAAAGAGAGAATGAAAAAGATATAGAGACAGAGAGAGACAGACGGGCGAGAAAGAGAGAGGGAGAGAGAGATAGGGAGTTGGGTACATGACCATGCGTCGTCTGTTGCAAGAATGGTGGTTATTGGTGGCAATTGGTGAAAAGATTGTTGAGCTGTGCCCAACCTGAGACACAGAGATAAGTGAAGGCTTCTTACTGTCACAAGATGCACAGTTTTCCGGCTTCTCCCATCGCAAAGCGATGCCCCCGGAGACAGTGTGAGAGTGAGGGGGGTCCGTGTGTGTAGACCCGACGTGTAGTCGGCAGTGGTTGCATTTGGTTTTGTGACCCGATTGTTTTCTTACCCCGCCCCGCCGCCCATCAAATCGTGATTACCCGTGATGCCAAGTTCGTGCTGTTCCTGCCACGGAGCTTACCCACTCCCTCGCCGCCCCCGCATCACCCCGGAGGTGATAGTACGAGCGGGATGGCTTCATCGACAGTTGCCGGGGCGACATGCTACAGAATCAAATCACAGCTTCGCGCGCCTCATCCCCTGTTATGTAAGCGTTTTTAATGTATACTTCGCCGCAAGTGGCTTTGGCATCGCGGACGCTGCGCGAGACTGCTCCGAGGAATTTGTTCGGGGGTCTGGCCTTGTTGTGCTCTTGTTTATTTGAGCTTCCCTGCCTGATCGTGCCTGCTCGTGGAGTGACTGCTTTCTTGTTGCCAAGCTGCCAGTGTGCTTGCGGTGTCGAGGTGTGTTTGGAGGTAGAGTGCATCGTAGTTAACGTTCCCGTTGTCATGACGCTAGAGTCTGAAGCTATGTTGTGTGTGTCTTCCGTGAGACAGCTGTCGGACCGCGAGTCGTGATGCCTGTTCATCTATGCTCGTCGCCGTCGCCCTGCGTAAGATGGCATCCGTGGAACGGTTGCTGGAATGCGAGCCACGTGCTTACAGTTAGCACGTTCTGTTTTTTCTGCATGAGATGGCGTCCCTGGCAGTTATAGACTTCGTTGATGCAGGAAGGCTTAATCCGTGGCAATGCAGTGCTCCACTAGACTCGTCTACCTCCTTGTTCTTTAGTGCTACGGTTGACGACAACTCGGACTGGAATTCTCTCACTGCCGTTGAAATCGATGCCTGTAAATTATGTACATGTTTGCGTGACACGAGCAATGGCAACGTGCCGTCGTCACAGTGTTAGATTGCGCTAACATAGAGGCAATGTCTGATGCAGCAGTAGCAGCAGCAGCAGCAGCAACAGTAGCAGCAGCAGCAGCATCAACAGCAGCAGCAGCAGCAACAGTAGCAGTAACAGCAGCAGCAGCAACAGTAGCAGTAACAGCAGCAGCAGCAGCAGCAGCAGCATCAACAGCAGCAGCAGCAACAGCAGCAGCAGCATTGTCTCGTAGTTGTCGTGACCACCATGAAAGTTTTCCGCTAAGGCTCCGATTTACTTATCATTTGCGCGACGACGATCAACCTTTCGAGAGCCAAGGGGATTCAAAAACGTTATCGGACTAATAAGGTACATGAAATACGACCACACTGCAGGCAGCAAAACTTGTACTCACCTATCAATTATTGTAAACAACGATTATTGTGAGGGTGACCTTGAGCTACGTATTATACGCTGGTGCATGGGTTGTCCTGGTTATCCATGATTAGGTTATCCATGATTAGAACGCATGCAGGCACTAGGTAGGTGGTGTGTGAACAGTAGAGAACATGCCACTTATGAAAGCTCACACGCGCTGGTTATCTCTCATTGGTTATAGATGAGAACCTTTTCTTTGCTGTGGCTCGTTTAGCAGTAGGAAACGTATGCCGGTAGTAATGCATGATTTTTTGCGTGCCAGTCTTTAAATAATATATCCGTGGGTAAAAATACGAACTGTTGTTAAAGACTGATTGATATTAATTGTTATAACTTATATACATAGTTTATCGATTGAATATTATTATTATAGGCGATCTGTATACCACGTATGATTGAAGTACGTTATTTTATATTGTAGGGTTTGTCCCAGTTATAGATCGTGATGATTGAATGAATATCCTCATCATACTATACATCCACACTAGTAATCCCAATCGCACCCGTGAAATGTGATTCTTGCCAATCTCTACTTATATGGAATTTAACACGTTCTCCATTATCTTTCCACGAGAGAGAAATGAACACTTGTATGGTGGCCTAGGACTGCCATAAGGAAAATAAAAAATAAAAAATAAAAAAAATAAATAAAATGAAAATGAAATGAAAATGAAATGAAAATGAAAACAAATGAAAACAAAATTGAAATGTTTTTCACAGTGGCCTATCGCTGCCATAGACTGGTACCCGGTCCCACCTCTCGGCTTAGTTACTCGATGGGTATCGAGGTGGGAGTGAGTACCAGTCTATGGCAGCGATAGGCCACTGTGAAAAACATTTCAATTTTGTTTACATTTTTTTTCATTTTCATTTCATTTTCATTTTTTTTTTATTTTTATTATTTTTTTTATTTTTTTTCCCTCTGGCAGTCCTAGGCCACCATACACTTGGTACAAAGCGCTTTGTAAAATCAAGAATATTTTATTAGAACAGAATGACCTGTTGGCTTCTGTGCTAGAATTCATTCTGCGTTACGTGGGTGAATACTAAATGCACATACTGTGTCAGTGTGTCATATAATCGTATTTGCATTTACGTATTTTTTTCGGATAATGCAACAAAACTAAACAAGCCTCATGCATAGTCATTGTGTATATATCGATATATGGAGGAAATGTAAACTAGATCAGTTTCTCTGAATCGCCATTTATACATCGTAATTTGATATTTATTTCGAGCTGGCATCGCCACAAACTGTTGGACTTCATGTGCATATTGGTTGCAGTGACAGTGTTAGTTCCCGTAGCTAGATAGGTATAGCTATGTGGTGAGGCGAGTGTCGTTACTCGGCATGCTCATGCCAACACCTTCCCAGTGTGGTGTGCCTTATCGCTAACTGCACTAAGGAATTAGGAGTGCAGAAACGTCGGCAGTTATGGTGTACGGTGATGGATCATATGATCATGAGCTGTAGACGTCGATACATGCGCGATGGACATTAGTGAGCAGGCACATATATGATTCAATGTAGAGGGGCTCTAGTAAATATACACGTATTTGTATGTGTGTGTGTGTGTGCGTGCGTGTGAAAAGCCTCCAATTCGAATGAGGCGTTGACTCCTAAAGCGACACATATTGAGTGTGAGTGTGAGTGTGTGTGTGTGTGTGCGTGCGTGTGAAAAGCCTCCAATTCGAATGAGGCGTTGACTCCTAAAGCGACACATATTGCTGTCACCAATCTACACCCCCTGCGCACGAGTGTGGGTCGTTGAATCACCCACAGAGTACATCCGCGCAATTTAGCGAGAGCAAGGAATGCTGCAGTGAGAGCCTCTATGGAGGCGTTATCTGCAGATTGCATAGCGTTTTCTCTTTCGGAGCGACACTGGACAGTCGTAATCTGTTTTACAGGGTAGTCGCGAGAGATCGGAACAGTCGGCAATGTCGAAGAAAGATGCGACGTGTTTACGTGATATTGCGTGTGCTTGGACACACGGCAATGCTATCGCAGAATTGCATTTGTTACAAAATAAAGTTGGTTGCTTCAATTAAATGATCGAATATTGATGGAATTTTTTTTAGCTGACACTATATTACCTCTTTGTGTCATATTAAATACTTTGTATATCATATTATGTAATACAACACGTACAAGTTTTTAGTGAAGTATAAATAGTAATGTAATATGTTGACATTTCTATGACATAAATACGATACAATACATATACATATAAATATACAACCATATACTGTAAATATTAGAATCCGGGGTGGGGTCAAACTTGTATCAAAACCTTACATAACTAATCACAGAAAGGGACATTACAAAGTGGACAGGAAAGCTGTGTATCAAATTTACTTGTAGAGGATATAGGTTCATCCGTATTTATCTAAGATTCACAACCAAAAATAGATTTCACAAGTAACATCACTAACATGCAAGTGATAACAAACGTTGCTAAATTCAGTTGAAAAATGTAGCGCATGTCGTTTTTGTGCGTTATGCGTGTGTATACACGCTGTTGACACGAGTAGAACACTTCCACCTATAGTCTATTCAATATATACGTATATAAACAGCATTAACACTATTACAATTTTGACGAATGGAAAATGCCATATGACTAAAAAATATATCTAGATCTAGATCTATCTGGCCTTATCTGACTAAAATATGTTGTACAAATAATACATAAGAAAACATTTATATTCATCGCCACTAAAAAATATAAAGCTCTTAATTACTACACAATCATGTTGGTCACGCAGTGTCTAGATACTTTAACTTGTAATGATATTCGCAAGAACATTTAATGTGAGCAAATGCACAATGTTAAATCGCGGATAAATAAATACACACCAAGACGAGCAGATACACAATTCACAAATCACACAAGTGCAGTTGCGACTTGGCTGTATAAGGCTGTCCAATCACAGGGGGTAAACACCAGCTACACCACTAATAATAGCACAAGTAGCACTGTGCATGAAACAACCATACTAGCAATGCAGGTAGAATTACTTAATTCACAAGGTTGTTAAGTCTGTTAATGCTAACTTGATAGAAAACACGTAAATAAAACATCTAGTTGGTATTTTTGTTATTGTAATCATTGAAACATCAAACCAGTGGGCCACCAGCATAATTGGATTGAGGTTTCTCGGTGATCTATTGGTAATAGTATCAGGAGTGTATCAAACACTTTGTATAAACAGTATTGATACACTCCTGATAGTATGTGTAGATTCATGTGCAAGTATATAATGGTATAAAATAGAGTATCTAGAATCGTATTCACATCAAATAGGCCTACATAGATATATGTATACATTTTATCAGCAGCTAATAATACCTATTATTAGCTCTTGATTTTATCAATTGCTAAAGATATCTGGAGACAAAAACACGTGTCAGACGAAATGAAGTTATCATAGCTTTTGGTACAATATGACGTGGAAATGTCATGCATTTGTTTAGGGTTTAGATGCCTTCTTCCTCATGTTCTTGTTCTTTTTTTTCCCCACTTTCACATCAGTTTGCTGCTCTAATGGCTCAGATTCAATGTCATCCGCAGGAATGTCAACGACTATATCACTGGGCCGAGACACAGTTGGGTTGCTCGGTGACTTACCTGTGAAGAAGATTAGATTAATCTAAACCCTTCTTTTTGAAAATAATTACAAATCGAGAATCATTTCCAATGATAAGGCAATTAAAAACTAAAAAATAATCGTGTTACCTTTCGGTGACTTGGCGTTCTTTTGGGGGGATTTGCTCTTGCCTTTCTTCATGGGAGTCTTTGGCTCTTTTTCCTTTTTAGGTTTATTCATCTGTTTGGACAATTTATCAGGTGTTGCCTGATATTGCATTTCGTCAGTCACTTCAACTCTTGCAGTGGCTTCTTCTGTGAGAATTGAAACGTTTTCAAATTTAGTTAACAAATAATTGATTTCCTAGTATTCTTTATGAAACTATTAATATTGTAATTTACTACTTGAATTAAATCTTCTACATATTTTACACACCATTCCTTTCAAGTTATATAAAATGCATTAGTTTTGGTGGAACCTGGGTTTCTCTGGGTTTTTTTTATGAGAATGTAGCTCTTGTGTCACACAGATTTTGTGTCATTTAGATTGTAATGTGAAGCCTGTTTCTCACCCGTAGAGGACACCTGTGACATCTGGGTGGAAAGCCTCTGTCTCTTTTTCTTATCCTTCGTCGCCGACGCTCCAGCTTCAACATCGCTCTCTCTCAGCATCTCGTGTTGCTCCGGAGGGACGGTGTTATCGGACTTGGAGTTGCTCTTTTTCCTCTTTCTCTTCACATTTTGCTTATCACCTCCATTGCTTTGGTTAGAGCCCTCATGATCAACCAACCTAAAATGTACATATACTATATGTATATATGAATGTAAATGTATATGTATATATCAAGACTACATAATAGAGATCAAGAGCATATAAAGAAGGAGAGCGTACAACGTTGAAATGCTGAAACCATGATGCAGTATTAGTCGAATTAATAAACTCCCCGTTTTATTTTGACGATTCTTTGCAGTATTATTGATCATCTGTCCTACCTTGTTAATATAAAACAAACCGCATGTCCCTACGATGCCGCTACGCTAAGATAATGAGCAGTGAAAATCTGGTTTTTTCGCCGAAAACCGACTCGAGATCAAAGAATCGTCAAAATAAAACGGGGAAAGTTTATTAATTCGACTAATACTGCAACATGGTTTCAGCATTTCACCGTTGTACGCTCCCTTTCTTTATATGCTCTTGTAGAGATCTATAATCTCTATTATGTACTCTTGGTATATATATATATATATATATATATATGTATGGTATTATGTAAACGTAAATATGTGTATGCTATACTGCCTGTCTACTGAACAATAACGACCAGGCCTTACTTATTTGTGTGAGATTATAACGTAATATGCAAATTTTGGGGTCTGGGGGGAATATACATAAACATAGAATACTAGTTATTCAATGAGAAATGTATTGTGAGAACCAAAATGGAGCAATATCATTGACAACTCGGAAGAATGTTGAGGTGTCACGTGTTCGAAAGTGTGATTGGTGAAAACAGGATTTGGGCTCACACGTCATGGTATGCAGCTAACCCCTATGACTCTGTCAACAGCAAGTGCTTCACAGTCTGGTTGGCGCTCACCCAACATTGCAGTCACTCAGTCGGTGGTGTGGCATCTCGCAGATGTTGCGTTCAGGACAGCAGCTTGGGGAGACTAGTGTCCACATGTAGATGATAAAGCAGAGCCAGCTGGATGCCATGCGAACCCACACCGTCGACCAGTCGCGCCCAAACGTGTATATGTTTGCCTTGTGGGGACTAAAGTCCAGTATGTACATGAATAAATTTACTAGGGTAATTTATCACAGGAGTATGAAACATACAGTCCATTTCTGATCCTCTTAAACGTAACACCTTTAAACTATAATAAAACAACAGCGTTGGACACACTTCCTAAAGCATTTACACAAAATAAACAAGTGGACATGTCTATGAAATCACCTGGGTTACTGCAGTTTTGAACTTAAATGCATATCAGCGGATTGCATTTACCTGAACCAATTTGTAAGCTGCATCATCAAGTAAAGTGCAGCCAGTGCATAGACAAAATGAAACCATGAGTAGCTGTAGGTGGTTCCTAGAATCTCATTCCTAGTAACCTTCTGGCCTCCTCTTTCCCCACTGACAGCAAGATCTGTATGCATAAAGGGAACAGTAATGCATTTCTGGTCTTCTGGATAACAGTATATATTAGTTCAGTCTCATTAAATAGGAGACATACTTTGCATTAATGCCGTAGCTAACAGGGGTGCAATAGGGCACTTACCCATGCCTTAACCCCAACCCATGCAAAATAAATTGCTACGCCCCTGAGCACGTTTGTTGTTTATACCACTAGGAGCATTGAATTTAAAGAAAAAATATGAAATTATTCTTGTTTTGATTTAGCAAAGATAAAAAGTAATTTTGAAACATGATGAGATATGATACTTACATCTAGGTCAGAGCATAAGTGTGAATACATACCATCAGCCGAACTGGACACACAGCAGCAGTTCGAATTCTCCTCTGGGGATGCATTTACGGTGATCCCAAGCCGGTGTGATTGACTTGCTGTTCTAATGCTGAAATAACACCCACACTCACGCTCTGTTAAATGCTAGATTTATTATGCACACCCTATGGACATCACCGGGAATACATAATAACAGGGGTGAAATAAAACAAAGTTATTTTTATTCGTTTTTATTCACTCCTGATAATAAAAAAATGTTTATTATGATTTTGTGATACCAGCGAAATGACAGGGCAATGATCAGATGGATCTGCAATGTCACAATCGAGGATTTGGCCCCTTCAAACGAGCTGCTGGGCAGACTGGGTATCTTGGACCTTGATGTCTTATTACGTGAGAGAAGACTCCGCTGGTATGGCCATGTTCAGCGCTCCACCGGTGCCATCAAGACAGTAGGTGAAGTTCAAGTTGTTGGTGTAAGGAGACGTGGGAGGCCGAAGATGTCTTGGAAGGAGGTTGTGAAGAAGGATAGGGAACAGTGGAATCTCTCCGCTGTAGACCCCTTGGATCGTGTCACATGGAGAACAAGCGTGAGAGCTGCCAAAACTGGACTGAGCCAGATTCCTGGAGTGGGTTTCCACTGATGTGGATTTAAACCCTTGAGTCCAGTATAAAATAAAGAAACCGAAAACAACAACACAACGTCAACAATCTGTTAAATCCCACGTGTACCTACAGAGAGCAAGCTTACCTTTGGTATATTGACATGGCCAGCATAATCATGATACCGATGTAAGCAATACCGGTCTTGTCCAGCCAGGTGCTTTCTGGTGGTCCACAAGTGCTGTCCAGATTGTAGATGTCGTTGTCAAAGTTCAGATCCAATCCATGCTGGTATGCCACTAATGGATCGTCCACCAGACGCATCAGCGCTGAAAGTTCAAGAACATTAACTAATCTTGATGCGTCCTTCTTGAAACAAACTTGGATTCTTCACATCCCATAAGCATCCACTAGAAAATGGTGCCGCACGTGAAGCCTGAATATACACAAAACTTGAAAAGGACACTGGGTGAACTAATTCTTTAAATCGTGCGTTCCATGCACCACATTACTTACGCTGAAAGGGTCGTTGTCGTATCAGGTACTACATATATATGTACCCGAGGTGCATATATGTATACACAAAGTGTACCGGACTTGTACTACAGAAGTGTACCCTAACCCTAACCCTAACCCTAAACATACCTCATATAAAAATATAAACATAATACTAAACAACCTAAAACTACCTCGGGTACATATATGTAGTACCTGATACGACAACAACCCTTCGTGCATTACTTACCTACTCGTTTTTCCTCGCTTGGAGGAAGTGGCTCACTTGATAGTGCTGCCCAAGTCAAGTACATAATATATGCTGAGATGAGGGCCCCTTGTAGCAGGCCTGATCGTGGGTCACCTGTACCTGTGGAGAGCACCAGAGCATAATTGTCATTCGCTATCAACCAACCATGCTTACAATGGGGGCAATACAAGGACAGAGAATAAAGCTACCTTAGATCTTATAATATTGAGTGGAAACGATATAAAGAACAAGACCCCTAGTTTTATTCTTTATATATCACCTGCACTCAATATTAAAACTATATGAATGTGAGATTCAATCAGTTTTACTACAAATGTGTATATTTTCTAGATGCTTTACGAATGTTAGGCAGAGTCTTGGATTAGGCTACATGTCTGAGAAACTGACATTGCACAGGGTAATAGTACAAATGTATGTTTGTGCTTACTCTTTGCCACACAGGGTAGAACAGATGCAAGAGATAGCACGAAGCACAGGCCTGAGTTGATGCAGATAAACAGTTTGTTGATAAAGCAACCCTTTAGATTGGTGTAGAACGAAAACAAGAGCACCACGGAAATCACACAGATTCCGTACAGCACCAATGCCATCACAACAATCACTGAAAACAGACAGAAATTTCATTAAAGATACACGTACGGAGCAATGAGATATGCGCTTTATCTAATCGAAGTTGCACATGAAAATGACCCCAGAAAAATATTCGCATAACATGGTTCCATTTAAACTTAACAGCTAACAAATTTATCACACGGCATATAATGGTCACTCAAAATATATATACTTGCTCTAACAATACATTTAATTTTATCGCCTTTTCGAAATATTTACTTCTAAAGATACGCACATGAAAACCAACAACATCGTGAGCCACCATGCTGCATTTTTCTCACACTGCAATAGACAAAAAGATTAAATAATCAATCACAATACACTACATTATTGTGAGGTGTATAGTGCTATATCAACTGCAGTAAAACCCACATCAGCATCTACCTAACTTAACTCATAGGCCTCTGACTGTAACCAAAAAAATATTAAGAACAAGGTTATAATTTTAATGAGCTTTTATGTGACTTTGATTGCTAGTGTCGATAGGGTTTTCATTCAAACATGCATGCAGTGACTCACATTCTGTCATTGAGGGAATGTGCAAAGTCAACCAGCAGCACCATCTGTATGGCTATGAAGATAACAGCACCTACAACTCCAACCCACATCCACACTGCAATAGAACCAAGGTAAAAATGCTATAACTGCAAAAACAAGCTAAAACCAATGAAAATACTCACAAATTCAGATCTAACTGACATTTAGTTAAATTACTTCTATGCATACACATTCAGGGTCGTAGCTATTGAGGAGTGGGGCAAGGGGCACTAGCCCACCTCAGGCCGATGTAGATATTATTACATGGCTAATAGAGAACTGCTCACGATCAACTGTTAAGAACGTAAACTGCACATGGCTTTGCCCCTACTCAAAAACCAGACAAAATAAAATAGTTACACCCCTGACATTGCATAATGTGGAGCTAAAGCCTCTCAATTTTTTATTATAGCATACATATACTTGACATCAAAACCCTATTAACCTGATTAAGTATTATCAGCCCTTGTTGACATAAGCTTTAACTCACCTTGTATGATTATTTCTGCATAGGGGCTAGGAACGATAAAGATTCCAGCTACTAACACGCACAAAAGTATGTACTTTATCAACCATAACCTGCAAGGAAGCACGGCAGATCGGAATTAATTGAAAGTTATTAAAATGGCACCAACCATAATTACTGATATAGAACACAACGTGTGTGTTAATTGATATGCCCTTTTTACACTCTAATGATAAAAATAAAAACTATGTAATCGACTTCACTTTACTAATGTAAATTTTTTATTTCAATTGAGGAAGACTACTGCCATTACATAGTTACAGAAAGTACACCTACTGAGTAGGATGTTATTCCACAGTATATATACCCAGAAACTGTATTCTGTGACTATATATATATAAATAAAGAAAGAAAGAAAGAAATATATATATATAGTCAGCACCGCTAAGCGACCTAACTCATGAGCAATCCCGAAATACAACATTTACTCTAGAATTAAAGCAAGCATAGCTGCACTGGTGTACAGTTTCAAGTGCAAACAATACAGTCTGCAGTTGAGAGCAGAAGGGAAAGCATACATGTGTGTTTACACACATAAACCCATGGGAACCAGAGAGGAATAACATGATGTATTCTTAGCAAGCATCCCAGCTGCATCGTTTATTGCTATATAATTGCACTCATGCACTTGAGCCACAGATATTTTGCCAGTCTATGAGAACTACCAGAATTAGACAACCATTACCCATTGTGTACGTTGGCTCTCCAACTTCTACTGGTGGTTACACCAAGTGTGAACAGGAAGAGCAGAATGAAGTAGACAACAATCGCAAAGCAAACCCTGTAGACTGCCATATAGCCTATCAACCGGGTGCAGTTTGGGCCTGCTCGAAGGGCCAGGCAAACGGAGTTAAAAAATGACAGCTAGAAAGAAAAAAAATTCACATCATAACAACATTTAGTTAGACTTGATTGAGATATATTGTCACGTGTTGTCGAAAATGTCCATAAACATCACAAATCATACAACTTTACACGTGAGGAGTAAATGGAACTGCGTTTATGTCATTGAACCGCTTATGTTATATCTTGTCATCATGTCATTGAACAGATTACCCTGCTTACATTATCCTGCAGCCACTTCTGTGCATGGTCAGTGATCATCAAGCAGGCAATAGCACCACAGAGGACAAACTGCAAGGTGTACATAACCCTTGTGCTGGTTGACTCCCGAACTGCTGGACACCCTTTGCAACATAATGAGGCTGCCATACTTCCACAGCAACATGATATCTGCAGCGTAAAATAGGATATTGTGACAAATAAAACATTAGAGCCACTTACTTACATGCAAGTTACTTGAGCTTGATTAGTTAATCTGTCCAAATGAAAGCACATACACTGTGCCCCAGCCAGGTCAATTCAATTTTACAACCTCAGATTTTAATGATGGGCTCCAGATTGTGTTACGAATTCAAGTTATGTTAGGGTTATGGATGAGGTTAGGTTAAGTTAGTGCTAGGGTAAGGGTGATGATGATCAATTGGTGATGATAGGGTTAAGCCACCACAAACACGGCACACCAACAGTGACAAAAACTACTCAGATAAGTGTTTCATCTCACCGGGGACCACAACCCCTTGGGTGCAGCGATTGGATTTTTAGTTATATATGCACTAAACCAATAACTTTCTTTTAAAGTTCTTGTGGACAGTCAGACTGTTCACTCTGCTAGTTGCACACACAAATACTTGCATGCAAATACTATGCAGCTCCAGTGCAGTAGGGCAGGAATTATGCAGGTGGAGGGTATAGTGCCTAGTGGGCTCTAAATATATCAGTAACATATATATATTGACATGACATAAGAATCCCTAACACAAAATAAAACTCCACATATATGTGATTCCTCCTGTTTGGGCAAGGGATCGAGTTAACAGCTTGGTACAGTCTGGATATATGAGGAACGTCAAGGTTACAGGCGTTATTAGCATTCCAGTTATACTCCAGTCAGGAGTGTACACGCAAGTTTGAAACCAGTCTTGTCCCCAAACCGATATTTATTATTTTAATTGTACAATGATATGTACTTTTAGCAGTTAATTGGTGCCTAAAATGCAAGAAATTACGATATGTCATGCCATTTCTATGGAATAAATCCTAGGTAACACGTACATGCCTGCACGCTTATTCTTTTCAAATGATGTGACATATTATTACATATAGTGGTCGTAATGCATGCTATGACGACAAATGACAAAGATAGATGAGGCCCTATAAGTATAACTATAAGTATAACTTAATATAATGAGTCCTAGGCAAAATACTGCCTGGCGAGAAACACTCAACCACCCAGAAGTAACTTACGATTTATTGTAGGAAACAGTTGCACAACATAACCCATTATATTGCTGCTATGAGTATGGACATGCATCACTTACCGACGTCAACTATCATAGTCTATACACTAACACTAACAGCCGTAATTTTAAATTTTATTCAACACTCAGTTACTTTTCATTGATGATTTTAGTATTTTTACATCGTCAAGATCAACTACAACTACGAATTACCTGAGCTCTGCAGCACTTTCCCATTTTAACTAACCAACTCACATATACTACAACTGTATATGTACAAAAACAACATTAAACCGCTACCAAAATTCATAAAATGACAAACAAAGCATGCTTTGTCAACTGTTCTCCTTTCACATTGTTGACAAATCGGACGAATCGATGACAGAACAGCTGTGACCCGGACATCCGACTTCGTCAGGAACAGGAAGTTCAGCATGTCATAAAGAAAAGAGCATTCTATGAAAACATTTTGCGGCTTTTCGACGTTCGTTCTCGGCGAATTTTTCATTTATGCTATAAATATGTTACACGAACTTCTACTTGCCTTGCATGGTTATCCTGGAAGTATTTTTAATGTTCAGGAACATGGCAATCTAGAGAATCCATGTACATCTTTGAGCTCAATGCAGGTTAGCTCAACGTACAATGCAACTTGATAACTGTTTGTTTTGTGTTTACCGCGACAGACATCTATCTCTTTTATGTTTGCTTTATTTTAATTTACTTTAATCGCAGTAGTATGTAGAACATGCGGTGTGTGTACGTGTGTGTGTGTGTGTGTGTGTGTGTGTGTGTG